TTCCGATGGTTGTTCCTGACCTTTATATCGTCTTGTTGATATTTGTCACACGATTGCTTGACGGCCTTGACCGCAATACCACCTCGTATGGAATGCTATTTAATCGATGTATGCCTCTAACTGTAAACACCACTATCACCGCGACTAGAACACGTCTACTCACATCGACAGCTATATGTGAACTAAGGATAATATGAAAAGAATCTGTAAACGACTGTGAATACATGGTACGACATTTAATTCTCTTCGCCAATGTGTTTTACTAACTTTAGAACATTAGATTAAAATAGAATCTACAATCCTTCAGGTTTCCATAGAAAATGCTGATGATTCGTTATAAAATTTCTAATTAAAAAACGTATTGTGAGTTGGCTTCAGAACGTTGATTGATCTGCCAAATGTTTTCAGTTTAACTTTCAAACTCAGTGTGAAATAGTGAAAGTTTTCTACTAATTTAGTTTTTCATATTTCTTATACTTCGATCACAATTGCATAATTTTAGTCAATTGATATCTCACGACCCGGTCCAATTATAAACCATCCCCCTAAATGTAATAGTAAGTGTATTTCTGTCTTTTTGCTTAAAATAAACAAATTATTCAAATCATTCAAGGTATCAAATCTCGGAAAATCTGGAAAAACGGTCTACAGTTTGTGTTCTCTATGCATGAAATAACCAAATTATTAAAATGAATGAAGTTATCAAAAGATCCAAAACTAGAAAAATCAGGAAAAACAGTCTACGCTTAAGTCGAGAGTGATGCAGTTCGTATACATGCAAACAATATCACTCTAGGAAGTAAATCTTATCCAACAGCAGATTAACAAAAATACATGCTAGAAGAAATATATGAAAAATTATAGATACAAATTTAAAATTCAAAAATTAACTAATTAATCACTAATTGGATTCCCCATTTTTTCATTATGGTTTCTTGGGTAGATTTGTACAAATCTTCTCTTGTTTACCTTAGGGATTAAATTAGCACAAATCAAAGAAGAACTAACTTACCATCACAATTACAGCTGATATGGAACAAACAATAAATATGGGCGTCTGCGAGTTATCTTTATTATCCCCAAACCTCAAGCCAACCAAAATCATCAATCCTATAGCCCATAAAGCTATTACATTCATGGACAACAATAACATAGCCAAAAATGCTTTAAATCTGCTATTCAAAGTGTCTATTACGTTGCAAATATTATTATGGTGTTGGGTAATGAAATTCAGATCCTTTAGAATAACATGTCCAGGTCTTCTTTTGGTGTTGAAATGAATTAACATTTTCAGCTCCAGGAAGTTATTCAAATTTTCCAGTATTCCTTTCATGTAATAAATGATAGAAGAAGTAATGGCCACTGTCAATGTGAAACACCAACACTCTAATGCGGCTGCCATGGGATATTTCACTGAATTTCCTTCAAACTGGTAGGATATAAGACCAATATTAATCGGGATGAACGCCAATGCCAACACTTGTGCCACCAATAAGACTCTGGATATATTTTTGTTGAATTTTGCATTTCCCAGCTTATTCCGCAAAAGAAAAATGGCATTGAATAATCCGGTGTTGTTTTGAATAATCGCAAAACAGATAACATTAGTCAAGACTATCAGCAAAAATTCCAAAAAATCTATACATTTCAAAGAAGTTTCGCTAATACGCACCTTTGCATAAAACGCCTCATTTTTATCGAGTCTAGGAAAAACGAACAGAAGAACATGAAGAATTGTGGCACATATCTGGATCATCCATCTGCACTTTCTATGCTTAACCAAAAAGACCACAAATTTAAGCGGAATGGGATCGGATTTATTGTATGGGTATTTTGGATTCGAAAATGTCTTCATTTTGCTGAAACTAAATTGGGAATGCCTGATGGCTTTATTAAGCAACTTGGCCGAACTCAATTAGTGTAATATTTTCCTGTAATTCTCGAAGTGAGTATAGAAATATAGTTACAATGCAATAAATCAATAGCCATATCTAATTGGGATCGGGCTTTTTGATGTAGGAACTGCCAAAGCTATAAATTGTTTTTCGCACGGCTCGTATTAAGTGTGATGAATTTCTATAATGAGCAATGGGGTTAGACATTTTTTAGACTTTTTAATTACACACAATTAGACTCACTAATTTATAGTCTTTCAAGAGCTACATATGACATTAAAATCGCATCAAGACCAACAGAGCAAACAAAATTTAAGCTAGAGATTAATTAAAAATTTAACTATAAGATTAATTAAAGAAGGTTCGTTCATTGGCAGAATTGTTTTTATCTTTATGAAAATGGAGAGCTTTGAGACCTTCTCCTCGCAGACTATAAACATCTTAAATTACTACCATCTGATTTGAAAGAGTAGTTCATTATTATAGAGCCACAATCTGCTGAAAGTCATTGGAGTGCTATCTGAGCCCCCTAAGCAGCTAAGACTTAATGCCGAAAATTAACTGACATCAAGAATATAAGATAGTGTGAAAAGAGCTACTAAACCACACCAACATCAAACACAAATTTCCTGCAACGATGAAAAACGAATAGACAGATTCTGAGATGAAGGAATGAAAATGAGTGATGGAAAGAAACAGGGAACTAATAGAAATATCAAATTTACAATGGTAAATTGCTCTCAATATCATTAACAATTGAATTAAATTTTTACCTTTTCTCGATTACCTTCGATTATACTCAAATTACATTTAGGAATGTTTTCCGGGCTTTGAAGCCGTGGTCTATTGGAATTTCTTCCTGACGTTTCGTCCACAACTGCGGTGGACATTTTCAAAGGCGATGAGGCAGTGGGCGAAGTGATCTCCCGTGCTTTCCGACTAA